CATCCCGTATTTTCATTAATCTTTTTGCGGTCAGCTGCACACATTTAGGAAGGCACTGTTCTTCTTCTTTGCTTCATTATTGTGTTGTGTTTTTGGCGCCTTACTTCACGATCCATGCGATAAAAAGTGAAGCGTTGAGGGCTGGTTCAAATATGCTTTTCTGTGACAAGTTGTTGCAAGTTCAAAGCGGATGAACGCGGCAAGAAATAGAGGATTTGTGTATCTAATTATGGTGGTTCTTTGGGCGTACGAAAGATATTACAGTTCTAGATTTATGTCTTGCATCAATCTAGAATTATAATGCTGGAATATAGTCCATAATTCAGTACACAGGATGATTTGAAACATTTCACCTCATAAAGTCGGAATAGAAACACCACAGGCACAGCAATTTTCTCAATGTTTCTACAGCATTTTATCCTTCTTCCCTTCTTTCTTTCTTTTTCAGTGTTATTTTCAGTCCGTATATAATTATCATCATTTTTAATTCTTCATTTAAAAATGAGGAAAAACAAAAAGGGTCATATATTTTTGTTTTTTTGAGCTACCTCTCTCTTTTTTTGTTTATGAGGTGAAATGTTTTTGTTTAAAATAAAATGCTAAAAAAATAACGAATAAAATATATCAAGTGGAATACTAATGAATAGAATTTTTGTAAAATTAGTACTTTTAGGTAAAATCTGACTAAAAAATCACAAAAACCTATAAAAAAACTTACTTTCTAGGTCCTTGTTGGCATTTCGCATACGTACCATTGTGCTACCAAACGGTACAATTTGTTCTGACGCGACAGCTTTCAGGCGTTTCTCTTAGGATTGTTTATTTGACAGATCCAGGAAATTTGGCGCTGAAGAGCTGAAAGATCGGTGCGGTGCCATTTTGCTGCGGCCATATGTTCACCATCTTGATTGCCGCGGTGGTGGATGTGGCAACTTTTACGGGAATCGCTGCAGCAGATAATCTTGTCCTGTACTACCCGGTGTATCCGCAATATGTTGTACCGAGGCATTTGCAAAATTTTGAGAGGAATGCTCCACCAAGGTAAAACCTCTTCGTCCTTTCTTAATCTCCATTCCCCCTCGGCAGTAACCTTCGATTTTCCAATAGTACGAAAAAATTCAGTCCTGGGTTCAACTGACACGCTCCGGTTTTAGTACTGATTGATTCTACACCCGCTCTATGAACTGCATTTCTTCGATTTCTCGTAAATATCGATTAACAAATTCTTAGCATTGCCAGTTTTTTTAGCAAGATACCGTCGCCACCATATGAAGTAGTGAAATCCGATGGACATGACATAAATGCTCATCTTGTTGACAGCTGGTGAGCGTCGAAGATTAGCGAACAGTGCCCCTGAAAAAATAAACGACCACTTGGGCGGACTTCGAAACAACGGTGTACATGCACACTAAACAAACGGTGGGCACTGGCTGAAGGTATATAGCAAAGGATCTGAAAGCAAAACGTAGCTGCGCCCAGGATATTGGGACATCTCAGTAACATCACTAACCTCAGATTCTTAAAATTAACTGCCCTGGCAGACTTAGCATTCCCAGCGCATAGGCGAATCAAATGAAAATAGTGGTTGAATTGTGTGAATATTGCTTAAAAAGTAATATATTTAGAGTATATGCAAAGAATCCGGATCTTCCATCTTCGGGAATTGTATGGCTCAATAAGAATTTAAAAGGAGATGCAATCGATTGGAAAGGTAAGTGAGCACTTTGTTGGATTTTCTTTCTTTTTCTCCCCCCGAATTGAGTGCGCCATCAATTTTGGTGTTTTTTTTTTGTGAAATCTAAACTGATGTTTGTTTGACATTTTCAATGTTTAGTTGACTTCTCTGGCAACAACCGTGAACACTTTTTCGCAGCTGGCGAGCACTGAAAAAACTCAGGGAAGTAAAATTCTATATGAACATCGTCCTGTAAAAAAAAGGATGCCGGCAGGAAAGCCACTAAATTTTGTACCAAGTAATTCTAACTCGGGATCAGTGCAAAGTTTAAGCCTAAAATTACTTAGTACCAAATTTGATGACTACTGTGGCTCGTCTAAAGCGTGTTTTCTAGTTCTTTCACCCTCATTTTACCCGGAGCTTATAGCAAACGTTACCAAAAGTTCGTATTTTTTGTGCTGAGCTTAAAGTAACAAGTGAATTTTTATTAAAAAAAGGCCCTAAAATGCGGAAATTGCTATTAAAAAAAGCTAAAGGCATGAAAAAATATTTGGAAATGACAGATTAGCGATTGGAACTTCAGAACCAATCAGTTCTCCGAAGTTTGAAAAGAAGTCAAAAAATTTTGTGATTTGAGGGAGGTTCGATGTTTTGAGCGAGGATGATAACTCTGAAGATTAAATTTGGCAGAAATTTTCCCAGAGAATCACAGTTGTGAAAAGATTTCATTAATACTCAGCGTTTCAGCCAAAAAATCATTAATTTTTGTAAAGAATATTCCTACTTCTTCGCTTGCAGCTCGGCCAGAATCAGAAAAGTTAACGACGACAGGAAGCAGTCGGCAAAGGATTGATTCCGATCGAAGTGGCACCACACCGGATCAAGCATTCGTGTCCGCCGTCACACCGATCATTGCTCCAGAGAGCGTAAGGCACAAATATTTGAATTTTCTTTTAATTCATTAAATGTTTTAAATTTTTTGACACGACTAAAGCTGGAGATTCATCATTGCTAGGAAGGCCACGTCCGGCTGAAAAAATGACATGCAATTCAGTGAACTGTTTAACAAATTTTGAAATTATTGTTTTCCTGATTTTCACTGATAAGAGAATATGAGGGACAGCTGTGTTAATGAAAAGAAGAGATATCTCTTGCCATCACGAAACTTCGACTCCGCATATGTCAATATCTGTATTTTTATCAAAAATTTTTAACAAAGACAACACAGAGTTTTCTTTTTTTGCT